AGAGTCAAAGAAAATCAATATACGTTATTTTTTAAAGGATTTTGTTCAAGAATTTTACTTTTATTTTCCGGAACACCCTGTTTATTTTGTAATATATTCCTTGTGTAAGTTAAGTTGTCCAAAAGAATCTCCTTATTTGGACTAGGCGCACTTTTTGTGAACCGTGTACACACCGGCTCTTGACCAATCAGGATCAATTAAACTGTCCAGTATCCAGGTAATTCATGCAGCGGGCATTGTCGTTTCTCAGCGGGCATTCTCAAATGTTAATGCACAGTCACGTGACGCGTTTTGACCAATAGGAGTAGAAAAACAGTCCCATTTATTTATTGGTGATGCTTTAAAGGCTTAGTTGGCATTGATGTTTATTGCATCAAATGCCAATAAAAGAAATTTCCTTCTTCAAATCTTTGTTGGTAAAATATTTGCCGGCCACTTTAAGTACTGATTTGCACTAACTCAGGCTTTGGTGCACAAATTTCAATGTTTCGAAATAGGAAAGTGCAGGTTCGTCACTATGATGTATGAAAGCATTAAATTTATAACAATCTAGTCTGTGCATGTTTACTAAAGAGACTGGTATGCACAAAGGTTTGTTCATTCGAATAAATGCTCACTTCTGGTGTCTAATATTCAGCAGGGTGGATTCATAACTGCTTAAAAACATAAGACATTTTAAATGACAGACATTGTTTTCAAAAGACTCTATTTAAACTGACATTTAGCTATAAACTTCAGGGGCATATCCAGGAATTTGTTGGAGGGAGGAGCGTCAGACCAGAGGTTTTTTAATGTCTCAATTTGTCTCTTACGGACAAGCTGAAATGATGATGAAACATTACATGACATACCTTGTGCACATAAGAACAATCTGCGGGATGTCGTTTTTAAATGTAACTCAGTTATTTGTTTTAATATTTCTCATTTCTTTTTCGTTTTTTTTGTCTCAGAGCAGGAGGGTTGGGGATTTCGACTTCCATCCACCCCTTAGATTTGCACATAAAATCTGTACTCAATGTGTACATATAGAAAAAATAGAAATATTCACTGAAATCCTTGAAATTGCATCAATGTGTTTCATTTAATTTTATTTTCATTTTTGTTTCGCTATTTTTATCTGTATTTTTGGTCTTATGGTAATATGAACTTGCATATTGATGAGCAAAACTGTAATGTTGCTGCATTAATTCGTTCACAAAACCTGCCAGTTTTTATTCATAGCTATCAGAATTTAGTTTTTTTCTAAGTACAGTATGGCAACGTGATTTGGACGATTCCCCAGTCAGTCTAAAGGAGAATATTTTTTCTCTTCAGAATGTGCTTCAAATTATTATGGAATTGGTTGCATGTCAGACTGTACATGTGTCAGCAGTGGAAATGCAGTCTGTAACAAGGCTAATGGATCATGTACATGTAACAAGCAATTTTCTGAAGCTACATGTGATAAAGGTAAGTAATTGTAAACATTATTGGTTGGATTGCCATGCTCTCTCTACCATTACTATGGGCCAGCTTACTTCAGTCCAACATAGTGCAAGTGATCAAAGCTGGAACATCGCTACTAGTCTCGTTGAGTTATATTTTGTGTACTTCAACAAATGTCTGAAAACTTTTAATTAACTGTGGAGAGTATGTTTCTCCAGCATGGTCAAACCCCTTCTCAATGAAAGAAACTAATCTACTTATGAGAAGTAAGTGTTTGATTGGTGGTCAAGGCAACATTGCTCTAATCGTGTTACTATTCTCCATAGTCTTTAGTCACTCTCACTATGAGTCACTAGAGGATTTGGTACAGTTTCATTTCTTTAAAACATGTTTGCGTCTATGTCACTCCATCTTACCCCAGCACAGAAGCAGGCAACCTACATGTACATGTAATTATCCATACTCTCACCAAGAAATAGTGCTGTTCTCATGGTTTTTTATGTGACCCAAACTGAACCAAGAGAGGGTGGATGCTCCTTTAGTGAGAACTACACTTCACAGGTTTGTGAACAAATAAAGAGCAAGCATTGCAGTCTCATCGCTACAAAGTGAACACTTCCCACCAATGTGACTCTTTTCAACCAATGAGGGGCACTACTGCTCAAGGGGATTATTCTATAAACAGATTCCAAAGATAAGCACTCCCATGAATCAGTTCTCCCAACCTTTCTGATTTTCATTTTTCCAGATGATTTTTGTTTTAATTAAATGTTTGATTTTAAGTTTCCTGCCAGCTGTCCAGTCAATTTAAAGATGAATACTTTGTTTTGGAATAGTAAACAACAGATGAAAGAACAAAAAAATTTGTTAATAAGCAAAAGTCCTTCAGTGGAATGTCCTCTTAACATGCACAACTGAATATGTTGTGGAGCCCTGGAGTGTATGGTTGTCAAGAAAAAAGTTCAATGCAGTGTATCATTACCATCCAGTATTAATAGAAATGACATAATGTGAACATTTCACCCATGACACTCAATTATTTTGCTTCTACCCAGACTCTTCATTGTCTCAACAATATCACATCCATTGCATTTCAGTTTGGATGTGCACTTTTTAGAATCTGGTAGTCATCAAATTACAAATTGAACAAAGTGGAAGAGATAATTCTTTGTTTGATTCATTTCAGCAATGATTGCCATCTCTACATTTGAACCATTGGGAGCTGCTCCTATCCGGGATGATTCTTCAGTCAATGATGTCAATATGCGATGTCATGTCAATATTGCTGAGACTGACCTACGGTCAGTTGATATCATTTTCCCAGATAATTCACAGAATGCAATGACAAAGGTGCAAGAAGGTGTATGGGAATACACCTTACAAGATGTTCATCCTATCAACTCAGGTGTCTACACCTGCCATGCTACAGCTAATCCAATACCCAGTGATGGAGTGTTTGACATCAGAAGGACCTTCAACTTAACTGTGACTGGTGAGTATCTATCAGTCATAATCTGTTTCCATGTTAAAAAGGATTTGAGGGGTAAGTTTCAGCATACCTGCCAATGGACATAACTTTAACAATGTACTGGTAGAGGCAACTTTCCATTTTCCATTTAATGGGTACATTGCAAACACAGTGCATTCACACGTTTCTTTTCACTTTCGCAAACACAAAAATCGACTCCATTAACATAACATATATGTACACTGCATTCAGCAGTGAAAATTGCCACGGGAGCATTTTGGCTGGTACATAACGCTTGGCATAAGTGTTGGTGCACATATGGAAAGGGACCTTTGCATATTTTTCTAAATACCATAATCATAGGTACTTAATCCTCCAACTTTGTAGCTGTCCTACCATAACACATTAATCAACCACAAAAGAACACCTGAAACAAAAAGTGTGTAACATGTAAAAGGAATTTTTTTTTGTCTTTCGTTTATAGTAAGGAGGAAAAAAACATGTTTACCACTTTGACGAGGTCCTGTTTACAAATTTCATTCCACAGGTAATATGCACAGTAAAACCAAGTTTGATTATGAAAACACTAATACAGAATTGTGTTGATATATCTTTATTTTACAGACGTTAATGAATGTGATGAAGACTTGGATAATTGTCATGTTAATGCCACCTGTACAAATGGCATTGGTGGATTCACCTGTATGTGTGTCAATGGTTTCACTGGTAATGGCGTTCAATGTGCAGGTAAAAATAAATCCCTGTATAAATCCTGATAACAACTGAGCTGATCATGCTCAGTGCTCAATTCAGTCTCATAGAAGTGAATAAATTGTAATGATAGAAACCAGTTTTTGCAAAACATATTTAATGCCTGAAAGTGTTTGTAACCCCTTGGCACCGGCACTCAGCAAGACACGCCGTAAAAATTGAGATCCTCAGCCTGCTTTTCAGCTATTATTCTCGGCCCACGCTCGAGCGAACACGCTGAAAGAAAGCAGACCCTGGCTCTTGTATATATGGTGATTGGCCTTTGTTGTAGCCCAGAAATGAAAAGACCGAATTTGCATCATAATCACCACAAACCGAGAATTCGCGGTTTGGCAGGTAGCCTTCGAGGCCAAGCGAGGCTTGAATTCTTGGAGTCGGCTTTCGGAAAGAAATTCCTGTCATCAAGGGGTTAAAACAACAGTGTCTCCATTTGTGTAGTGTTGATAATTATTAGAGCATTTTATTTGAAACCTTTTACAAAATATTACAGGTCTATGTCACATAAAGTGTGATGTGTTTTTAATTGAGAAAGATTTTTCTGTCTAATTTTAGTTTAATTACAAAAGGAATATCCAAGCCTTCTCAGTTTAAAATTAGCCCATTTCTGGTTTTTCCATCAGTTTTCTATTCATACATGTCTTGATACATGTTTATAAATATGAAATATTGATCTTTCTCAGATATCAATGAATGTGATCCATCCTGTAGTATTAATTGTGACACCTGTCATACCGATGCTACCTGCACCAATACAATTGGTAGTTACACCTGTGCATGTAATGCTGGCTACTCTGGAAATGGAGTCACTTGTCAAGGTAACCACAATCCTATCCTTTGACCTGTAGACCTAAATAATCAATGTTTAGTCTTTCAAAAAGGTTCAATTGGTTTGTGGTGTTGTATGTCTGTTGTCTTTTTGTGGCATATGTATTTCAATGATATTGAAAAGATTTATAGAAATTGAAAGATTTATATTAGCTCTTTTCTCCATTCACAGTTCTAGTAGAAGCCAAGCGCTCTGTGGTCTGAGTGTTTTGGCAAGCTTTGTTTCGAAAATGTTGGAACCTGCCCTTTTATGAAAGTGAAATGTCTTCTTTTTCTTCATTTCTCTCTTTGTCAGAATAAAAGAGCTTGGTTTCCAGACTTATATTGAGAAGTTAAAGTGTCTCTTTTGTACAAATAATTATTCTTTGTCACGCACTGGCTTATGTTTGTATTGTGTTTTGTATCTATTATTATTCTACTCTGTTAGTTGCACAGTGGAAACTTTACATGTATTATAGCAAAATATAACTGCACATGTAAATATATATGTACTTCTTAATAATTTTCAGCCACTCGGCTGAAGCAAAGTTGATTTTATGATCACAAGAATGTTTACTTTTTGTTTTTATGTTTGATAGAGTGCGTTGAAGGAAAGTATGGATTTAACTGTGCTGAGAACTGCACCTGCGTAGATCCAATGCCTGGGCCGAATGACGTCATGTGCAGAAAATCTGATGGCTTTTGTGAATGTAATAAGGCTGAATTTATTGGCAAAACTTGTGAAAAAAGTAAGATATGCTCCATTCTGTAATGATAAGATTCCTAGTCTCTGGAATACATGTATCAGAATACTATGTGTACCCTTTAAGTACTTGGCAGGGCTTCTTGAACTTTCAAATGAAAACCAGTTTAGTGTACTTGAGCACACCAGTCAGCATGCCTGCAATGTGTGTCCACAGCATTCCCTCACATGAAATTCATTTGAGTGGTTACAGTGCCCTCTACCGGTTCTGTCTTGCAACTTAGTCACTGTGTAATTTCTACCAATTAATTTTTTTTCTGCCCTGTTCTACAGGAAATCTTACAGTGACCCTGATGCCAGATCCTAATCCTGTCTTAAACAGGCCGGGAATAGATAATATCACATGGAGATGCATGGTCAATCTGCATTCCAGAGATCTTGTCTTACCAGTGACAATCACCTATCCCAATGGTAGCATTTGGCCAATGAACATGAGTGAAGAGGGATTGTATGAAAGGATACAGAGTGGTGTGACACCAAATGACAATGGCAGATACACCTGTACAGCCGCTGCAGTAGGAATGGACCCCGTTACTGGGCACTTTGATTTGGATGTACTCAGTAAGTACATGTACACAACATGGGTAGTGGTCAAACACACAGTACCCCACCGTAGTTGTGGGGACATACACTCGATATTTCACCTTTTTTCTGGGGACCACAAACGTTGTGGGGACAAAGAAAATGTCCCCACAACTGGGTCCTAATTATTTGCCCAACAAAAGAACACGTCCTCTTAACATAGTGAATGCCTACTCATACTACTAAACATGGAGGTTTCTCATGGGAAGAAAAAAAAACAAATGCATAGAAATGATTTCAGGGAGTTAGTAAGAAAGAAAGGTTCATGGTTCCCTCTATCAATTCCTTTAAAATTATGATATTTGCTTCTGGCAGATATTAATTTTTTTCTTAAACCATTTTGGAGGTTTGCCCCTAAGTCAATGTACATGTACATAGATAATTACATGTATAACACTGTTTACTCAGTGTTATCTGAGGGATTTTCACAAATATGAAGGGTTACAAACAATTGCAAAACTGTTGGTGACTCAGAATATATCTTAAACATTATGAACAACTTGGTACCAAATTGTATTGATGCAAATATCCTATTATCTGCCACTACTTATTTCTGTTTATCTGCAGTTGAATCATGTTTAAAAGTTTTNCCCCTGCAATATGGCATTAAGATTAGTTTAGAATGGCTTTGCAGAAATTATTCGACAGTCGTAGACTCTAAATACATTCACAAAAACTGAGAATGGACCTGAAGACACATGATGGACAATTCAGGTAAACACAATAACAAGAACAAGTGTTATTGTGTTACACCTTAACATGAGTAAATGGTTGGGTCATACTGTTAATTGTTCGTCCTATATGCACATACATTATGCAAGTAACAAGCTATAGTTTTGACACTTATATGGTAGTTCAAAAATTGTTGGAAAGTGTTCTTAATTCCAAACAGCAGTTTATCTTTTGTATTTTCTTTGACTGGTGTTGATCATCTATAGCCACATTGTCTGCAATTAAGTAATGAAAGTAGGTTATTAATTTCCAACATTTAGGCTTTTATAAAAACCAGAACGTTCTACAGCAGAAGTAACCAAATTGATTTTTTTTTCTAAATAGTTGATGGCAGAATCATATCTGTGTCGGATCCTGTTGAGGGAGAAGTCGGTGATACCGTCCGGATCAACTGCACAGTGTATGCAAGATCAGATGTTGACATCGCATGGTACTTTGGAAATAATCAAATTATCGATGATGCCAAGTACGCCATTACAAAGATGTCCCTTGGAGACTTTGAGCAGATAAGCTACCTGACTGTCCACAACCTGATCGCTACTGACAACGGCAGTTACGTCTGTAGTGCGACTGATGACACAAGGGGGGCATTGATCGTCCTTATTGGTACTTTTTATTCGTAACGTGTTATCTCTTCAGTTGGTTGATATGAAATGTTTTGAAAAGTAAAGACATGTAAACGGTTTCCATTTTGTACAACAAATTTATACATGTTCTTACAGTCAGACAATCGCTCACATCATGCTCTTAAATGCACCCCAAACTAAGGCAATCAAATGTTAAAGAACTATTCTTTCAAACTTAACGCCACTTTCACTTCTGATGGATAAACCGGAAAAAAATTCTACACACATTGTGTCTGTATAGTAATCATGGTATTGGTAAGCATCACTGACCCATGCATCTTTGTGTTTATCTCCTTTCAGAGAGGCCTGTGATTGGCAATGTTGAGATTTCTGCAGTGAGTTTTGATCAGCTAAGAGTATCCTGGGACATCACTTTCGATGGTAACCTACCACCTCCAATCTGCCACGTGAATTACAGTTCTACTTCAACTGGTCTATTTCTGTCATCACCGGGCAGTCCAGTCACTGATGTGAGTCACATCGTGACAGACCTACAACCCTACACGGAGTATTATGTGCGAGTCCAATGTACAAACAAGGTTGGATCAAGCAACATCCTGCTAGGTGGACTTCAACGGACTTTGAAGACAAGTAAATATTGCCTGCCAGTTAACTGATTGAAATATATTAAAAAGATTTGTTTGACTTTTAAATGAGAGCTAAACGTCATTTTGAATGGGAGCATTTTCTCTTTAGCTTGGATCAGTCGATAAGATTAGTGTTCTTAAAAACATGTTATAGACCCATCCGAGCCTCGGAACCTCGCTGCAGGTGACATCCAACCAGACAGATTTAATGTGATGTGGAATGAACCAGCCATGACAAATGGACCAATTGATGGCTATAAAGTCAATGTAACAAGACAATCTGATGGTGCCATCATTAAAATGGGTAAGTGCCAAGATGTTACGCCTGCACACTTTGCTTAAAGAAGTCTGTCTGAAGTCTGTCTATTAATATGCAACAAATCAGAAGAATGAATATCCTCAAAAATGAAGAGCAGTGCAGACCTTTACATCACAAGTCTTTAAAGAATGTCATGACAAAAATCAAATTTTCATTATAAAGACATAAATGTCCACTATCCTTGGAAATTCATCTGTTTCTCAATGTTTCGCCCACAACAGATCAAGTACTAGGACGATCATTCCCAGTCGAAGGTCTGACAGCATACACCGAGTACACTGTGGTGGTGATTGCATTTAACACGGAAGGCGGGCAAGATCTTGCAAGCAACCCAACCCAACGAATTTTCAAAACTTCACAAGAAAGTGAGGCAGCCTTGTATAGAATGATATGTCTTAATTATGATTCGTTTCCAAAAGCCAGTCATCACGACAAAACGTGGCTACGACATGGAAAATAGTATAATAAAAATATCAGTTATATATATATCGTAGTCTCAGGGATGGCAAAGTTATTTTGACGGTTTCAGAAGCATGTTGTAAGCAAGGCTGAAGGCAGCAATTGGATAGTTTTTATTGGCATGCACGTTGAAAACAAGCACTCGATCTGTCAAGCGTCGAAAAACGCAAGCCTCAAAAAATGACGAAAGCAATTACTCCTCTCCAAATAAATGAACCTTGCTCCTGTACCTAATACTCAAAGAAAACCCTCCCTTCGGGGACTTTGTGGTCCTGGCAGGAAGGGGATGGACGAAAACTAAGACGACAATTTTGCAAATTAAGCAAAACGATTTTTGTAGCATTTATGTCATTTTATTCTTCACCAAAATTATCGGCGTACAATAATTCCCCTGTCCAGTTCCATCAAGACCACTGAATGTTGCAAGCCAAGAGCTGGGAAACTCCTGCATCGTAAGCTGGGACCGGCCTGAATTTGAAAACGGAATCATTCAAAGTTACACGGTAAAACAATCAATTTCATCAAGTAATATAGTTTGTAGGCATCAGTCTCACTCCCAGGGTCTAAATTTAAAAGCTTCTGTTAATCCAGAAACAAAATTATCTATTAACACAGAGTGTCGGTGAAAATTGCCATATAGGGTGTTCATTTAACACCAATTGACTTCCACAAATATTGCAGTAAGAGGATAAACTTTCGCCTCAAAATATACCACCTTCTAAGTTGCAACCAGTGTCCATGATAGAATGATGCACCGTGGGCACTAATGCGATCCTACTAAATTACTAGACCCATGGCGATAGTCCAGCATTCAACAGACAAAGATATAGAAACAATACTCAACATTCTCGTGATTATTGTACCTTTCCAGGTTTACTACACTGCATATCCCCGGCCTGGGACAGGATTAAGTGCACAGGCCGATAGCCAAAATTCCGGTGCAAAGATTATCGATAGCAGTCAAGAATCATATTCATTTAACAAGACAGACTTGGCCAGTTTTACAGACTTTCGATTCAAAGTCAGCGCCACTACTATAGCAACGGAGAAAACAGCACAGAAGCAGTCGGTAGCTGCACCACCAACGCAGCAGGTATTGAAGTAGATTGCTTCCACGAACTATAAATCATAGTCTTTATATTGACCTTTTGCTTGAATCACACCCAACTGACACAACGTTTCCATTCTTTTCATACTGCAAATCATACATAGTTCCTGCTAAGCCAATGGTTCCTGTCCTGGCAACAGATGTCAACAATCCTCTAACTGCTAATACATTCAAAATGAGGTTAGCAACAGTAAGTCAACGAAGCGGACCAATCAGGTACAACGACTGATGTATTACCATTACACTAAAATGCTACAGTTGATTTTTGGCCCAGAGTTTAACTTGTATCTAGCACAAAACCTGAATCAAATAATACCTGGTCAGTATATTGACAGTATTAGGGTCCTTTGAGGAATCCATTCATACAACATCATTTCCACAAAGCTAAATTTCAATATCAAAACAAGAAATTGCTGAGCACTTAAATTCACTCAAGCCTGTCATTTCTTCAACAGCTGCTTTGAAGTAACAGTCATTCAGTTGAATAATAATGACGTCATCGATGACAGAGACCCGGATGTTTTGTATCATCCTGACATGCTTGGTACCTACCAGGAGGCATATGATACAGCAGGAAGAGCTTATGTAGCATTGACCTTAGCAGGGTATGTGCGTTCTGTCACACCAGTACAGCAGTGCTTTTGATTAACAAATAGAACAAAAACTTATAATGTTAACATGAATTATATTAGTAAGATTTGAAGCTTTGCATGGCGGAAGTACATAAGATGTAGGTTTGCGGGTACACCATGTAAAAATTCTCTTTTGGGAAGAGGTGTGGTTCTGAGAAGAACCGGTGAGTGTTCAACTCGACGTTTCGGCCAGTATGCTCTGGCCGTCCTCAGGAGAATGTGTTGCTGACTCTAGTGGATGCCGTGTAATAAAGGTTGTCTGGAGTCGGTGAAGCGTGATGTGGCTTGGTGGCCTGCTGAGGGTACACTGGAGCATGTAGGTGTTGGATCCAGTCGAGAATTAGGGATGCAAATTTGGGCGGGAAACTAGTTTAGGCGGGAAACTGGGGATGGGTTGGCTTCGGGTAGAGAGGACCCTAACACCAGGGGATGAGGGGGGCCTGAGTTTCAGGTATAGAGGACCCTACTGCCCGTGTGGTGGTGGTGGTGGTCTTGGGTGCTAGCAGTGGGCGCCAGATGTCGCTCAGA